TTGAAATGAGAAATTAGTTGTATTATTATCATTTATAATAAATTTGAAATGAGAAGTTAGGGGTTAGGTTGATTGAGTTGTGATTTGGATTTTGGCCCATTTTCTTATTACGCTGATTGTCGACGTTGACCGGTCAACTTCCGCTTGGGTTGTGATGGTTTGCTGGGTCCGTCCCTGGCTATAGGTATAAGAATTCAAATTCTTGTACCAAACAGAATACGCACAGCAGTGGGTGGGGTGGGAGCTTTTGTCAATATTTTAATTACATGGGGCCCACCCCGATGTAAGTGAAATTCAAAATTCTGTATCAATTCTTTTTTTTCCCCTGTACTCACAACATTATTCATGTTTCCATCTCTATTACCAACGTCTATAATCTAAAAATTGGTACACGAGATAGGAGTGCGTCAACTCAAAATTTTTTAGTAATCAACATTAAGGAGAGTAGATGCACTATTTTTCTTTCATTTAGGTTTTGTCCCACTAAACTTTTCTGTCAAATTTTAATAAGTTATTATTTATATTAAATATTCCAAAAGTAACAATTCTTTTTTCCTTCGTTTGATATTTTTGCCACACTGTTTTTTATCAAACAAGATTTTAATGAAACATATATTATGTTATGAGTCATCTAAGGAGTGTTTAAATTATATGTTTATTACTGAATGGTCATCATATCCTTTAGTCCTAGTTGCAATAACTATTGCATTTTTCACAACCCTAATTCTTTCTTATATGGGTTAATTTCACAAACGGTCATTGAAGTTACGTCAAAATTTCAAAACGGTCACTGAAATTTACAAGTTGCACTAACGGTCACTGAAGTTACGTCCAGTTTCACAAATGGTCACTGAAGGACCTTTTCATTCTAATTGAAACTTAATGAACCAAAATAATTAAAACTTGCACCTTGAGGACCTAATTAAAAAATTTGACAATAAAACAAATGCATCTCTTCCATCACTATTACACCTCCCTCCCCGTAAAATCCTTAAAACCTCCAAAAAGTTTTGGGTCTTTGGGGCGTCGGCATCACCAATTGTGTCGTCGCAAACTGACCCTTCAAACCGTCGAATCTCACCCTAGTCACCTGCTTCATCATCTGTAGGAAATTCGCCGGATCTGCTGTGATGAACGTCGTCATCGCCGCCCGCGACTTTCGCTTATTTATCTTTCCCGTCGATGAATCAATCCGACGTTTCGAAACCGGAACTCCACTTCCTAAACCTCTCGCCACAGTGGGTGTCTGCACAGGCATCAATTCGGGACTAACAAGAAAAGACTCAAACCGTATCCGTCGAAATTTCATGCCTGGAATTATTCT